CCCCAAAACCCCAAAACCCCAAAACCCCAAAACCCCTTTTCACCTAGATTTAATTGAGAATTGCCTATTTATTAGATTATGACATTTCAGCATCTTCCTTCACTTCTGAGTTACATTTGTCTACAATTTTATCAACTATGTTTTTGAAGGCAGTACTTGTAAGACTCTCTGGCTTCTCTCTGTAAAAACATTTTCCTCCCTCAGTTGCCATAAGTACATCTGGGTCCAGTGGAATTTTTCCCAAGAGTTCGTATCCTAGTTCATCACACATTGCTTCTGCTCCTCCCGATACAGGCTTAAAAATTTGAGACTCATGAGAACATTTAGGGCAGATAAACCCGCTCATGTTTTCAACTACTCCTAACACAGGTGTTTCTGTCTTTGCTCAGAAGCTAAGTTCTTTTCTGACATCCAGCAAAGCTACTTCTTGAGGTGTTGTGACAACAACAGCTCCTGCCACATTAGCAGATTTAAGATATTTAATAATAGAGATATGCTCATCCGAAGTTCCAGGAGGAGTATCGATAATGAGGTAATCCAAGCTATCCCAGACTACATCAGTCAAGAACTGCATAATAAGACCGTTCTTCCTTGGGCCTCTCCAGATAATGGCATCGTTCTTGCTTGGAAGTAAGAAACCTACACTCATAACTGCTAAATTATCTTCAACGTATACTGGACTCCATCCCTCATTGCTCTGATGTATTTCTTGGCCTTCGAGGCCCATCATTCTTGGAGCGCTAGGACCACAGATATCGATGTCAAGCAGTCCAATATTAAGCTCGTCGTCCATAGCGAGTGTCTGAGCTAATTGAGAGCTAACTGTGCTCTTACCTACTCCTCCCTTCCCAGAGAGTACGAGAATGATGTGTTTAACATTCGAGAGCTTTGCTGCAACTTCAGCCACAGCTGGATCTTCCTTAGCCGCTTCCCCTGAAGCACAAGCTGATTGATTAGGACAGCCAGCTCATGAAGACTCTTTTCCAGCATTTGAAGAGCCTAGACCAGGGCAATTCTCATTTGCATTTTCTGGAACTTTACTATTATCCTCCATTACCAATTTTTACGTATTTATCAATTTATCCATAAAAAATTGGGGTTTTGGGGTTTTGGGGTTTTGGGGTTTTTGGGGTTTTTGGGG